AATAATTTATATTAATTAAAATATAATATAAATAAATAAATAAAACAGAAAATAAAATAAATAATATATATTAATTAAAATTTTCTTTAATTAATAATAAAATAAAAAGTAATAATTACAAAAAAAACACAAAAAATCATAAAACAAAAATGATGAAAAGCTACTTAGGGGTGACATTAACACATGATAGGGTGCCATTAGCCACCCCCATCTTTATATTGGATATTTGTTTTTATATAGTGTTGAAAAAGGCACGCCATAGCGTGATATGACGCAAGACGCGTCTCAGCCGTTACGAATTAGCCCATAGTGTTTCTATAAGGCATGGCTCACGCCATGACGTCTTGAGGCGCACATTTTTTGTGTTTTTTTTATTTTTGTGTTTTTATATTTTTATAGATTTAACTAATCACAGCACTCACACTTTTACAAATTCATAAATGTTACAGACTCGCGGTTAAAATGAAGTTATAAAATTATCTTTCTAAGTCCTATTTTAAATATTTAATAAAAAATCTATTTTTATAATAAAAATCTATATGATTTTTTATTCTTATAATATGAATGTATATTTTTTTTAAATTAGATAATTTATAGAAAATATATATATCTATATATAATTTTATAATATGACATACAAATTTGTCGCCTTATATGTTACGCCTTGAAAAACGCCGCATCCTCGTCATGGTGTGTAAGGCTTGAGGCTTGGTCTTGCCGCCACCCCATACCTCACGCCTTTTTAAACCTTGTTTTTGTAAGACATTTTTTTTCCAAAAATATTATATCAAAATACTAATATAAGGCTTTATTTTGAGATGGTACTATAAAACTTATTAAAATCAACTTATTGTACCACATTTACATAAGACGCATAATTGTTTGATTTTATAAATTTAAACAGTTTAGGACTTGTTTGTTAGCAGCTTAATAAGCTTAATGAGACTTGCAACTTATTCGGCCAGCTATATATGATTGTTTGATGATTACTTAATAATATAGAAAATGACTTATTTAATAAGCTTCTTGTTAAGGAGAGTTTTATGCAGAAAGGAAAGAAAAAATTCCAAACGATTTCCCCTCAATCAAAAAAACACACCTCATCCATATATAAAAAAAACCCCAATAAATGCTGATTTTTTTTTTTTGCTTTGTACTATCTTGCATATCTGAGTTTCTGTTGGTTTTCTCAGGTGGGTGATCCAGATATAGACCATAAATGCTGGGAAAGGCCTGAAACTACCACAGAAAAGAGGCCGGCCATCCAAGTGAACAACTCTTATCCGGGCTCAGATGTTGCAGCCGAGACGGCAGCTGCAATGGCGGCTGCATCTTTAGTTTTCAAGAATCATGACGCCCATTATTCCAGATCGTTGCTCAAGCATGCCCAGAAATTGTTCGAGTTTGCTGATAGTTATCCAGGAATTTATAGTAAAAGCATCCCACAGATACAAGATTACTATAACTCTTCTGGATATCTTGATGAATTACTGTGGGCGGCATCGTGGCTCTACCATGCCACCGGAGATGGATATTACATCAGTTATGTGACCGTAATGCACGGAAATGCATTCGCTAATTGGGGTAACCCGACTTGGCTTTCTTGGGATGATAAGCTGGCTGGAATGCAGGTAAACTTCGGTTTTCTGGTCAAATATCTGGAGTCTCATGATGGTTAGAATTTGGCAATTTCTTATTGATATACTTTGGAATCTCAATTTTTTTTTCACACATTTTCACTGAGTTATACCACTCTAGTAACTCGACACTTTGGGGAAAACTGTACCCCTCAACACTACAAGACAATTTGTGACCGTCTAACCTGAGGCATGATGGAATCCATATTTGCCAGTCTTGGACCATTCATGTTCAATATACTCCATTCTTTCTTCATGGGCTCCTCTGGATAGCAACTACAACGAAATTCCACACATATTCTCACACACACAACATTTTTTGGTTTCTAATTTTTGTTTAGGTCTTATTATCGAGGGTCAATTTCTTGAATGCGGAAAACGATATCTCAATCGGAGAAAATATGGACCTCCAGATGTACCGTAGAACTGCCGAGGCTCTTATGTGCAGAATTCTATTGCCATCACCAACAAGCCAGAAAACTAGTGGTTTGTTTTCAAGCTTAAGACCGAAAGAATGAACTTAATCGATTTTCAGTCGACTATTTTTCGAATCTTGTTTGATAGAGAACTGCATATTCGCTCTAGTGCAGGTGGTTTGATATGGGTGAACGAGTGGGATTCGTTACAATACTCCATTGCTACCTCGTTTCTAGCGGTAGTTTTTAGCGACTACATGTTTACGTCTAAAACGCCATACCTATATTGTAGCGGGAAATTATACGAACCAATGGACCTTCGTGAGTTTGCTATTTCACAGGTATATGATCATTTTTTATCTACACACTACAACAAAATTAGCTTTACAAGACGTCTAGATTGTTTAAGCGTCCAATAGTATACTTTATAGAACTTAGGTTTATAGGACTTATCTAAAAGCGTTACAATGAATTTATACGACGCTTTTAGACGTTTTAACAAGTTTTTTAAAACGCTTTTAATTTAAAGTGTTACATTAGCTATTCTATAGAGACTTTCAAGAAAACCATCTTTTTATTGTCACTTATGTTTATGGGACACTTTTTCAAATACTATCGTATAAAATAGTTAATACGACACTGAATTTAAAAGTGTCCTAAAAAACTGGTTAAAACGTCTAAAAGCATCCTATAAACCTATTGTAACACTTTTTTATAAGACTTTTTTTGGTTTGGTCCGATAAACTTAAGTCCTATAAAATATTTTTAGAATGCTTTTACAATTTAGGCATCCTATAAAATCAATTTTGTTGTAATGACAAGTTATACTTCACAACTTTTTTGAGTTCTTGATGTTAGAGCCCACATTTGCTAGATTTTTAACCTTTTTCTCCATAATATACGTTGAAACTTTCATAGCCTGAAGGGCTATTTTGAGTATGTTGAAATCTTCGCTCTTCTGAAGCTTTCTTGGCTATGAGATCGATCAACTAATTAATATATAGATGGTGATTTCGTATGTATAGGCTGATTATGTGTTGGGAAATAACCCGATGAACATGAGCTATCTAGTCGGCTACGGGCTTAAGTACCCTCAATATGTGCACCATCGGGGTGCCTCGATACAAGTTAATGCAACTACAGGTTGTGAAGACGGCTTCAAGTGGCTTAACTCCACGAAACCTAATCCTAACCTTGCGATTGGAGCGGTTGTTGGCGGACCATTCCTCAATGACACATACATTGACTCACGTAACAACTCAATGCAAGCCGAACCTACCACCTATAATAGCGCCTTCTTTGTTGGTCTTTTGTCGGGATTAGTTACCTCTTCATCTGTGGTTCGATCTTTCACATGATGCCATGATCCTGAAATAGATGGGATCATTTACGTAGTTTTGGTTAGGTTAGTCCTTGCTATATATGTAATTCTAGGTGATCCGTCAGTAACAATATCCCTTGGTGATCCAAACTGCCGGTAATCTGTTGATGATATTTGCTTTCAGAGATCCGTCAGTAATCTGTCGTTCATGGTCACTCTCGGAGTCCGTCGTTGATAATCCGTCGGTAATAGCTTTACCCACGAAAGTTTGACTAGCGGAGTTTTACTGACGGAATCAAGTCACCGACGGATCACCCCATCAAAGAATGGCCTTAGAATTATTGTGATGGTTTCTATCTTTGTATATGAAATAAAAATTTATAGCAAACACACCTTTTTTGTGTGGAAAGAAAGTGACATGGATAGATTTGTTAATACGTAACACATGTTTGATGATGTACATTGAGCATGAAAATGGTAATATATGTTAGCAGATTTATGGCGTTTGGTTTGTAAAATGGAATTTAGTGGAATTGAAATCTATTAATGAAATTTGACTTTAGAAGCAATTGAAATAGATATGGTTGAAATTTAATTGGTCACGCCGTGTTTGGTTGGTAGGAATTACATTGGAATCTATCAAAATAATTGGAATCTCCATATTTGTTTGGAGGGAGGATGGGGGTAGCAGTTGTGATTACGACAGTAGTGGCTCGGTGGTGGGCGGGGGGTCGCACCCCACCCACTCTCACCTTTTCCCCCACCCACCAACCATCATGCCACATTTGTTGTCGTTATAACTATCACCCCGCCGTGCAACATGTCACTTGGTCTCATATTCAGTATAATGGAATATTATAACTCTGTGGAATTGATGATTGCTAACTAAAACCTTTTGTCAAATCTTTTTTTTAAGTATATAATATTTATATACGGTAAATAGAACAAATAAACCCACACACCCTCCCCATTTTTGGTGAGGTTTGAATCTTTGATCGCCTAAGAAGTCAAAGACTCACATACTGCTAGGACAAAGACCTTTTGGTCTTTTGTCAAATCTTATTTGTTGATTGAATGAAAACTTATTTTAAAAAAATAACAGAAGATCATAATATGCTGACAAAAAAATATGCATATAAATTGTGTATGAGATTTTATTAATCAGGGAGAGAACATCAAGTTATCCATCAAAACAGATTCACAAAGGAATAAGAGGTATTAGATCGTTGGTATTTTGATCATAAACCTAGAACGGCTTTTATGTAAGTACAATATAGTTAGTATATTCATCTTAAAAAAAGATATAAAAGAATACAAATTCTCATAGAATCGAGAATGAAGCTTTCATTCAGTACATGTCAGATAAAAACATTACTTCATTTTGTATTTATATAATAGTGTGGGGACCTTTTTTGTAATTCAATATTGCAGGTTTCTATTTCTTCCGAAGTCCCTAATGTCTTTAAACTATTCCATTTTCTACCCAAAGCCATTTTCCAATCAAATTAAGCAAAATCTAGATGTATATATATTTTTTATTAACTTGGATATCCAACCCACTATGCGAGTCGACTAATCCCAGGACGACCATTCGTTTTACGGGTAGCCCGGAGTCACTGTATTTGAGCATTTGTAGTCATAAGAAGATTTTTATTATTCCTTGGATTCGAACATGGGACCTTCATGCACTTTTGACCAATTGAGCCCAAGCTCAAATCAATCGGACACCACTTTTGTGGTTATTGAAATAATTTCCGATGGATTAGCCACTACAACAAAGTTGAGTTTATAAGACATCTAAATTATTTAAGTGTTTTATTAGAGTGTCTTATAGGACTTGAGTTTTAGGATCAAAACATAAAATGTCTTATCTAAAAGTGTTTTATAGAACGTTTTCGGCGTCGTAACAAATTTTCTAGAACCTATTTAAAATAAAGTATCATATTAACTATTTTATAGAATACTATTTGAAAAAAAATGTCATACAAACACAAAGGTCCTGGAAAAGGATGTGTTTATAGGACATTTCTTAAAAGTGTCTTATAAAATAGCTAATACAACATTTTATTTAAAAAAATGTCCTAAAAACTTGTTACAACTCTAAAAAATGTTCAATAAACTTATTGTAACAAATTTAGATAAAACACTATTTTTTGATCATATAAACTTAAGTCATACAAGACACTGTATATTTGGATACTTAAACACTTTAGGTGTCCTATAAACTCGATTTTCTTGTAATGAAACCTGAATTTCTCTTTTAAGTTTTGTTAGTTTTAGAATTGGGGTAACTTTTTTAAGCTCATAATTGCATCAACCCAAATGATATTGTTACAAACCCAAAAGAAGGTTGTTAATCAATTGTGCAAGGCCACATCTTCGAGTTCTATAAAGTGATTGAAGATTTTTTTTACGGTTCACCAAACGCTTAGCCGGGTAAGCGCTTACCAAGTCATATTAACTCAAGATAAATATGGTAAGGACCAAAAATATTACCCGGTAAGAGCAAGGCAAGGACCAAGAATCTTACCCGGCAAATGAGGACCAAGACTCTTACCACGGTTAACGCTTACCGGGTAAATTGTTGCATACGATGCCGTTTTTGTTGATTAAAATCTTACCCGGTAAATAAGTGATAATATTGAATTTTACTGATAAACGCTTACCGGGTGAGTGTTTGGTAAACGGCCCCTGAATTGAGGTACGCGCAAATGGGTCTGGACACCATGTTAATAAAAAAATCAATTGTGCAACATAGAAAATATTAGAGTAAATTATAAATTCGTCCATGTGGTTTGTTGAAAATTTGGATTGGGTCTTTAAGTGAAATAATTACAGGGACGGTTATTATGATTTACACTCCGTTATTGCAAACTTACAGCATTCAAAACCTGGAAAATGGAAGTCTAGATTGGATCCCAAAAACAATTACAGGGATGTGAGTTTTATAAATTAGCAAAACAAGCCCTTGAAATAATTACAAATGACTTTACACAGTGAAAAAAATGAAAATGCCTCAAAGTTAATGAAGTTTCTAAGCATCTGTTAACATGAGGGACTTGATCCGTAACAAAAATGAAACCACAGTGACCGTCCCTGTAATTATTTCACTTAAGGAACCCAATCCAAAATTTCACCAAACTACAGGGACGAAACTCGTAATTTACTCAAAAGATTAATTATTCAAATCTTTTTTTTTTAAGTATATAATATTTATATATCAGCAAATAGAACAAATAAACTCACACACCCTCCTCACCTTTGGTGAGGATTGAACCCTTGACCTCTAGAAAGCCAAAGACTCACATACCGTTAGACCAAAGGCTTTTTGGTTAATTATTCAAATCTTGCATGAGATATTTTTGAAGATAAGGAGTAGTTACAAACACAAGTGTCCATGTTAGAGTATTGAAAACAACTATTCAAGTGTTATACAATGTGAAAATGTGTCCTCTACAACAACAGTAATAAATGCATGTTCTTTAAAACCTATTCAAATATCTGGTTGTACACCACCTCCAATCAATGCATGTTGTTTAAATTTATATTGTAATTCAATTAGTATCAAAGATTGTTTGACAATTATTGAATGGTTTGATGTAGAATGATTAAAAGAATTGCATGATATAGTACAAAATGAAATATAATTGTTTTGTAATTGTTTACAATGAAATTAGGGCGTTGAATGGTTAAGGAAAACCCAAATATACAAAATCATTCAAAGGGTTTTAAAATCATTAAGAGATAGATTTTTTTTTGTCAAACAAGATTGCTCTGTTAACGATTCAAAGACTGTCTTTTAATGAAACTACTATGAAGTAAACAAACAATACATTTAGTCCAAACAAATGAAACTAATAGCATTATACAGAAGGTTTTTGTCCTAATTTTTATAAAAACCATTATTATGAGATAAATAAATCTATAAATTTATAAAGTATATAAGTAATTAGAAGTAGTATGAAAATAAACAAAGTATGTGATTATCTAGTTATATTATTAT